GCGACAGAGCTTGGCAAACAGGCTTTGAAAACAAGGGTGTTTTGCATGGGTGGGGAGGAAGAGACAGCAGAAGATAAGCTTGGGTCTGTGTGGTTAAAGCTTCCCAGTCCCACAGAGTCTTTTGAGAGGGTTTGTTAGGCCAAGGTGAGGGTCAATTGGGAGAAGGCTGTTTGTTTTGTTTTTGAGCCTATTGGAAGCTTGATTGTGAGCAGTAGTTTATAGTGTTCTATTTTAGCTTTGTGACCTTTTGTCTGTTGGGTCAAGGCCGATTGTTTGTGTGAGATGAATGGAGATGTGCTTGTGCTTGTTATTGCACCTATTGTCCTATTGGGTGTAGTCCCAAGTCCGCTTCCTTAGCACTTGGTCCTAGGAAGCAGGGGCTTTTGCTCAGAGTAGGAGCTAGCAGCGAGTAGCTGCCTATATAGATGCAGTCTCACTCTCTCGAGCTTGGCAAACAGGCTTGGAAAACAGGAGTGTTTCATGGAGGAGTCAGCACCATGTGCAAATTTGTAGCCCTGTTGGAAGAGAAGGTACAGCAGCTGGAGGCCCGAGTATGTACATTTAGCATATCCTGGACGGGGAACACAGAGAGGAAGTTTCTGGGAAAGAGGTCAGTTCTCATACACAGAAGATAGACGGTTGGAGGAGTGTGACACACATAAGTGGGAAAAACAGGGATTATTTTGTGAGCTTGCAGCTACAGAACTAATTGAGAGCCTTCACAGACTGCCAGAAATAATGCAGTTTGAGGCCACTTTAACTGTCCTGGCTCAGTGCTAGGGAATCATGGGAACTGTATTTTTTTTGGGGGGGGGCACTGAGCCTTCTCTGTCAGAGAGCTCTGATGCCACAATAAACTACAGTTCACATGATTCCTTAGCCAGGATAGTTAAAGTGGCCTCAAGCTGCATTATTTCTGGCAGTCTGTAAAGGCCCTTAAACTCTCTCCTTCATCAGGGATGACTAGGGAGAGCAGCAGAGCCAGTCCTCAGGGAAAGTGCAGTAGACCTTGTAAGAATCAGAACAGGGAAGAGCTGCTGCTAAAGCTCACAGGAGGTGCGTAGAGGATGTAGGGGACTCCTTGCTGAGAGGTATAGAAACAACGGTTTGTGAGCCTGACAAGATGTCTTGGGAGGTGTGTTGTCTCCCTGGGGAAAAAAATCCATGTGACATTGAGGCTGACAAGACTTGTCAAGCCTATTGACTATTACCGCTTCCTTTTGGTTCACATGGGAACCAATGATACTGCAAGGCACAGCCTTTAGAATAGCACATGGGATTAGAAGGCTCTGAGTAGGAAGCTGCCCAGGATGCACAAGTTGTTATCTCATCTCTTCTCACAGTTGAAGGCCATGGTCCAGCAAGAGAGGGGAAAATAGTAGAGGTGAACAACTGCTCCACAGATAGTGCCACTAACAAAAAATTGAATTCTTCAACAATGGCCTGAGGTTTCAGGAGGGGGGACTTCTGGTAAAGGATGGGTTGCACCTGATGCCATTTAGCAGAAATGTTTTTGCCAACAGTCTGAAAAAAATGATCAGGAGGGCTTTAAACTGAGTTATTAGGGGGAGGGAGACAGTATTTTTTAGAGCAGGAGTTGATCACGGGCTGGAGACAATAGCCAAATTGTTATAGTGAGAACATGACAGATAGTGCAAGGACCACTTTACACAGGCAGATGGAGGGAGATGTCCCATTGTCAGAGATGTCTCTACACTGATGTACAGAGCATTGGAAATAAATAAGATGAACTTGAACTCCTAGCACAATAAAGCACATATAATATAATAGGCATCACTGAAACCTGGTGGGATGAATCTTATTATTAGAATGTAGTAATAGAAGAGTATATTAAAGAGAAATAGGTGAAACAGGAAAGGAGGAGGAGCAGCAGCATTATATGTCAGGAATGTCAGGGATGTTTACCCCTGTGAAGAAATCCAGGATTTAAATCCTGGAAGCCAGGTGCAGAGCTGGTTAATCAAAGTGAATTCTAGACCCAGATGAGCTACAGCCAAAAGTATTAAAAGAACTGGCCGAAGTAATCTCAGAACCACTGGCAATAATCTTTGAGAATTCTTTGAGAACAAGAGAAGTCCCAGCGGACTGGACGGGGGCAAATGTTGCCTTCATCTTCAAAAACGGAAAAAAGAGGATCCCAACAATTATCATTCAGTTAGTCTGACATCAATAGCAGGAAAGATTCTAAAGCAGATCATTAAACAGAGATTCTGTAAACATTTAGAAAGGAATGCCATAATCACAAAAAGTCAACATGGGTTTTTCAAAAACTAGTCATGCAGTACTAATCTGATCTCTCTCTCTCTTTTTTAAAATTACCAGCTTTATAGATGCTGTGTATCTTGAATTCTGTAAGGCCTTTGACAAGGTCCCCCACAATGTTCTGGCAAACAAGCTAATAAGTTGTGAGTTAGACAATGCAACTGTTGGGCGGATTTGTAATTGGTTGACCAGCTGAACCCAAAGGTTGCTCACCAATGGCTCCTCTTCAGCCTGGAGAGAAGTGACCTGTGGGCTGCCACAAGGTTCTGTCCTGGGCCAAATGCTATCCAACATATTTATCAATGACTCTTGGCCAATGACAAAACATAAAGGCTTATAAAATTTGCAGATGACACCAAATTAGGAGTAGTATCTAATTTGAAACAGGGAGAAATGTAAGGTACTACACTTAGGGAGAAAAAATTAAATGCATAACTAGTATGGGGGACAACTGGCTTGATAACAGTACTTGTGAAAGGGATTTAGGAGTCCTAGTAAACCACAAGTTGAACACAAGTCAACAGTGTGATGCAGCAGCTAAAAAAGCCAATGCAATTGTAGGCTTCATCAATAGTAGTGCCTAGATCATGCCTGCACAACATATTGCCTGGGAGCCACATATGGCCTGGCAAAGGATTTTGGACAGTCTACAAGGATGTTGAATGGCTTCAAAGCTTCTCTGCCCCTAGCCCTCCTCCTGAGGAGAGGGCCATACAGAGGAGGGGAAGGAAGGGCGAATGCTCACCTTACACAACTCCTCACCAGGTGGTGGAGGAAGAGGACAGGTGAACACTCACCTTGTAAGGCTCATCCACTGCTTGGTTTTCTCCCAGGGAGAAGGCTGGTGGAGGAGGAGGTGGAGGACAGGCAAATACTTGCCACTCAAGGCTCTTCCACTGCCTGGCTTTCTCCTAAGGAGAAGGCCAGGTGGCTGCAGAGGAGGAGGAGGATAGGCAAACACCCACAATGCAAACCTCCTCCACTGCTTGGCTTTCTCCTAAGGTGAAGGATGGGTAGAGGAGGACAGGCAAAGTTTGGCCTGTAAGGCTCCCCCTTTGTCTGGCTTTCTCCTGAGAAGGCTGGGTGGCAGAGGAGCAAGCACTCACCCCCCCTTGGCTCGTTCATCACTTGGCCTTCTCCTGAGAAGAGGAGGAGGACAGGAAAGGCTCCCCTGCTGCTCAGCTTTCTCCTGAGGAGAGGGCCAAGCAAAGGAGGAGGAGGAGGGAGGAATTAATTTTAATTACTATTATAAATTAATAATTAATTTATAATGAATATTAATTAGTATTTAATATTTAATTAAAACCTATCTACGGCCTATTTTAATTTTGGCCCTTACCTACTGCCAAGTTGTGCAGGCCTGGTCTAGATCAAGGGGAATAACAGTGCCACTCTATTCTGCTTTGGTCAGGCCACACCTGAAATACTGTGTTCAGCTCTGGGCACCACAATTCAAAAGGGATGTTGACAAGCTGCAGTGTGTCCAGAAGAGGGCAACCAAAACGATGAAAGGTCTGGAAACCATGCCTTATGAGGAGAGACTGAGGGAGATGGGTATGTTTAGCCTGAAGAAGAGAAGGTTAAGAGCTAATATGATAGTCCTGTTCAAATATCTGAAGGAATATAATATTGAGGATGGAGTAAGCTTGTTTTCTGCTGCTTCAAAGACTAGGACACAGAGCAGTGGATGCAGACTACAGGAAAAGAGATTCCACCTTAACACTAGGAAGAACTACCTGACAGTCAGAGCTGTTTGACACTGGAACATATAGGCCTAAGCAGACTGCCAGAAATAGTGCACATTAAATTGATGCACTGCCCTGGCTCAGTGCTAGGGAATCATGAGAATTGTATTTTTTTCTGAGACATTGAGCCTTCTCTGTCAGAGAGCTCTGGTGCCACAATAAATTACAGTTCCCATGATTCCCTAGCACTGAGCCAGGGCAGTGCCTCAATTTAATGTGCACTATTTCTGGCAGTCTGCTTAGGCTCATAGTCTCTTGGAGTTGCCTTCTTTGGAGGTTTTTAAGCGGAGGCTGGATGGCCATCTGTTGGGGGAGCTTTGATTCTTTGTTCCTGCATGGCAGGAGGTTGAACTGGATGGCCCTTGAGGTCTCTTCCAACTCAATGATTCTATGATTTTTTTAATTACACATTATTTCCTATGCTTATACAAACACTGTAATTTATAACAAAAACTATATCTACCCAATGTAACTGATTTTTAATGCAGGAATGCAGGATAGGATCCATGAGAAGCACTATGAAAGATAATAGTAAAGGATCATATTTGGCCATAGCTCCAAGTAGATCAATCTTTGTTGTTGTTGTTGCTGTTGCTATGTGCCTTCAAGTCATTTCCAACATGTGGTGACCCTAAGGCAGCGGTTCTCCATTATTTTCTGTCACGCCCCCCCTAGGCAAGAAGAAAACATTTCACGCCCCCCCGCGCGATCACATGGGCGGGTTTGGCCAATCAAAATAGAGCTACTGGGGCTGCGCTGGGACAATCTCCCTTTCTCCAGCTGTAACACACCCCCCTTTATGGAGCCTCGCGCCCCCCTTGGGGGGCGCGCCCCACTATTTGAGAACCGCTGCCCTAAGGTGAACCTATCATGGGGTTTTCTTGGCAAAATTTGTTCAGAAGAGGATTGCCCTGGTCTTTTCCTGAGGCTCAGAGAGTATGACTTTCCCAAAGTTACCCAGTGGGTTTTCCACGGCTGAGCTGTGAATCGAACCCTGGTCTTCAGAATCACAGTGCAACACTCAAACCACTATGCCACAATGACTGTCTAGATGAATCTAGACACCTGAAGAGAAAGTGAAGTTCTTAGGTTTTATATTTTAAGGTTATTTTACATTTAATATTGGTCAACTTTAGTTAAATAAATCCCCTCTGTAACCTGCAGTACCATCTTCATCCATCAGGAGGCAGAATTCCCCAACCTCTGCCAGAGAAAGAAGTGCAGCCAAACCTAGAATACTGATTTCTCTAGAGATTTCAATAGGCAAACTGACATTCTGTTTTTCTTCACAGGGCTTGAAACTCTTTAAATAATGAGAAAGGGGGGGGGGGAATGCAGAAACAGAAACAGAAGGTCCTGCAGCCTGGCAAGGTGAGGGGAAGGGGAACTGAGCAGAAGGCCTGAATAGAGCACTGGGGTTGAGTGGGGGGGGGGGAAAGACAAGTCAGAAAGGAAAAAAGGGTGATAGCTGCTCACTTGTTATTTATAGCTAAGCAGTTAAATCATGCATGCAATTCAACTCACCTTCGCAAATAAGTTGTACATTCCTTTTATTAGCAGCCAGGTTAATGCAAAAGGAAATGAGCTCCAGGTCAACACGTTCATCAGGACATTCAAACAGCATCTTCATTAACTAACAAGATATGAATTTCAAGCCATTAGATTTGTCAGAAGAATAGCAACATAGCTGCAGCACTAAAGTGATTCCATTTCTCTTAAGAGGATAAAGACATTTCTTCCCATGTAATAGATTTCATATTGTTTGTTTTTTTCCCTACAGAAACCTCTTGGTAGTGTTTGCCTTCAAGCCATTTCTGACTTATGGCGATCCTTAAGGAAACCTATCACAGTGTTTTCTTGGCAAAGATCTTCAGAGGGGGCTTGCCATTGCCATCATCTGAGGCTGAGAGACTGCCGTTCCCAGGATCATCTAGTGCAGGGGTAGGCAACCTTTTTGAGCCGTGGGCCGGGTTGCTGTCCCTCAGACAATTGGAGGGCCAAAACACCAAAAATAAATAAATAAATATATAAAAATTAAACATTAATTAAAAAAATTAAAAATATTCATGCACATTCTCTCATCCCCAGAAAAGCCATGGCAAAACCCCTGTGGAGATTTTGCCAAGAAAAACCCAAGAACAAGTAATAACAACAATAATCAATATCATCCTGGCGGGCAGCGGCAGCGGCGGCAGGACTAACCTGGGGCCGGTCCAAAGGCCTCGGGGGGCCGCATCCGGCCCCTGGGCCTTAGGTTGCCTACCCCTGATCTAGTGCTTTTCATGGCCAGGCAGAGATCCAAACCTTGACCTCCAGAGTCACAGTCCAGTGGTTCTCTATAGAATGGCTTTCTTTCTCTGGTTCTCTCATGATGCTGTCTCTCTACAGAAACCTATTAGGAACTGTCAAACAGAGGTGGGAGCAGAGCCAGAACCAACAAGTCTGAACAAAATAACTGTCCAGAAAAATCTAAATTTCCAACTCATAAACTGACTAGCCTTGGGATGTGTAATGCCCTGTCTCTAACTAACTCAGTGAACGCACTTCATGGATGAAACCAGAAAGAGTTTATCAAAAAAGATCAGCACAGTAGCACATCTTTTGCCATATCTGAGGTGCTAAACGCACTGCAGAAATAATCCAGTTTGGGACTGCTTTAACTGCCCTGGCTCAGTGCTAGGGAATCCTGGGAACTGTAGTTTATTGTGGCACCAGAGCTTTCTGACAGCGAAGGCTAAATGTCTCACAAAACTACAGTTCCCAGAATTCCCTAGCACTCAGCCAGGGCAGCTAAAGCGGTCTCAAACTGGATTATTTCTGCAGTGTGTTTTGGACCTGAGTTAGGAAGCTAAAGGGGGGTTGCAGACTGCCAGAAATAGTGCAAATTGAGTCCACTTTTAGGGTTAGGGTTAGTGCTAGGGAATCATGGGAATTGTTGTTTTTTCTGAGACATTGAGCCTTCTCTGTCAGAGAGCTCTGATGCCACAATAAAATACAGTTCCCATGATTCCCTAGCACTAACCCTAACCCTAAAAGTGGACTCAATTTGCACTATTTCTGGCAGTCTGAAACCTCCCTAAGTTTCATTTCTATACCCTCTCCAGATTAACTTCCCTCCTCCCTTCACATTACATTCCAATGAAAAGCCAGGCAATATATGACCTTGGTTCACACACAACAATTACCCACAGCTGCTTATCTCCTTCCTCCTTACAATCAAGCTCCCAACATGGCTACAACATAGCTAAGTAGGCCTAACTTTAACATGACCGAGGGGGCAATGAAGGGTGACTTTGACTAGATGACTTCAGTTTTCATTTTACATTTTACTTGCTTCTTCTAATTCTTCCTCTTCTTCCTCCTCTTCTTCTCCTGGATTTTCTCTCTTGTTCTCCCTCTTTCTTAAGGGCCTAAGCAGACTGCCAGAAATAGTGCACATTAAATTGAGGCACTGCCCTGGCTCAGTGCTAGGGAATCATGGGAACTGTAATTTATTGTGGCACCAGAGCTCTCTGACAGAGAAGGCTCAATGTCCCAGAAAAAAATACAGTTCCCATGATTCCCTAGCACTGAGCCAGGGCAGTGCCTCAATTTAATGTGCACTATTTCTGGCAGTCTGCTTAGGCCTTTAAGCTTCTTTCTTTGAGCCCTTGTTGTCATAATTCCAGTTCTTTTTCCATATTTTATCTCTGATTGGCCATTTCAAAGCAGTGGTGCCAAGGGAAGAGTGCTCAACCTCTTTCCTTAAGGTCCATTTTTGCGATTTAAAATCTGTTTTAGATGCTTTCCCACCCATAGTGGATAAACTGTAATCTCCAATGATAGGAAGATTTTTGCAGACAAAAAACAGCTCATAGAGAGTGTGATGAGCTTTCCCTTTCAGGCTCTACTCTTGTGATCAACCATGATGCCTCTACTGTATAGCAGGTTTTGCATTTTTTAAGGGGAAAAATAGTTTGTGCTTCAGTGATGACTAAATTATGTCCCACAGTCAACTTTGGGTTTACATCTTCATTTAGAAAGGCAAGCTAATATGTTCATTTTGAAAAGTAGCAGAGGATATAATCTATATAGTGAAGTGGAATTTCAGCAATGTTATGATTCCTATTTTTATAAATACAGGGGGGTTGCAGACTACCAGAAATAGTGCAAATTGAGTCCACTTTTAGGGTTAGGGTTAGTGCTAGGGAATCATGGGAATTTTTTTTCCTGAGACATTGAGCCTTCTCTGTCAGAGAGCTCTGGTGCCACAATAAAATACAGTTCCCATGATTCCCTAGCCCTAGCCCTAACCCTAACCCTAAAAGTGGACTCAATTTGCACTATTTCTGGCAGTCTGCAACCCCCCACAGTTGGTCCTCCACATTTGCTGCTTTGATTATTTGCAGTTTTGATTAATATGTTCTCTCTAGGAATCTCAAGGTGTTCCAGCACAACTCTGCCAGAGGATGATGATGATGATGATAATAATAATAATAATAATAATTTTTATTTATATTTCCCACCTCTCCCTACGGATGACCATTGAATTTTGCTGGAGAAGAACAGGTTGCTTACCTGTAACTGTGGTTCTCCGAGTGGTCATCTGTGCCCTCACACATTAGGGCTTTGTGCCTGCACAGAGACTCCGTTTGGAGATTCAAAAGCTGAGCAGATTGGTGGGTAGCCCCACCCACTTCCATGTACTGAGCATGCCCAATCTTGCCAATTTAGCTCCACCTTCAGTTCCAGTCCGTCGCAAAAATACAGGGACCTGACAGAGGGTACGTAGGGCGGATATGTGTGAGGGCACAGATGACCACCCAGAGAACCACATTTACAGGTAAGCAACCTGATCCTCTCCGTCATGGTCTCTGTTTCTCACACATTAGGGTGACTAAAAGTTAGCATCCTGACATGATCTGCAATGAAGCTTGTAGTACCAGACAAATGTGGAAGGTTGAGACCACATAGCAGTCTTGCAGAGGTCAGGTAGAGAGACACCTCAGAGGAAGGCAGCAGAAGAGGAGGCAGC